AAATGCAACAGCTGCTGCGACATTCCCTCGGCCTCCTCCTCCTTCATCACCACGGTCTCAGCTCCCCTTAATCTGATCCCAGCCGGGACTCAAACACAGACATGCAAAGCAAAAATCTGAGTTAAATAGATCTTCCAAACTGAGTGGAGCAAGTTTTTATAAAACACACTACGATAAAGCATTAAAAATAGGCAGAGGTGAATTGAATGAGTTTGCACATGTTTTATTGGTGAAACAACATACAGTACATTTTAAAATTCCATGCAGCGGTTCCTTTTTTTTATTAGATGACATGTCACATTATACTCCACCTGTTGGCATCAAAGTCCGCTCTGTAAAACAATCTGGATAGATTATTTTCATGGTTTTCAAGTTTTATGAAGCCGATGTGATCGTGTTACCAAAGATTTCATGGCACGAACTTTGCCGAGCCAAGCTGCCCAGAAAGGGGGGGTGGAGATTTATACCCTTAGGTCCTCCTCAGGCTGGGAGCCTGTCTGCAGAGAGGACGAGCTGTTCAGAAATGATTTCACAAATGTTTTCATTCCTCAGTAATAACAGAGTGTGAAAATTAAGTGTGTCTACACTGGCAGCAGGGTTCCCGCAGGGTATAAACAGTCCTCGCTCTCCATTTCCAAGACATCACAAACAACGAGAGCATCTCCAGGAAAAATCACAAACATAAAAAATGACATGACCCTTTCTTTTAGCCATATTTAGTAAATAACATTGATCTCTGTTTCGGTAATGTGATAATTGTGATTGTTGTGTGAAAACACACCTGAGGGCAAAAATTAAGGCTCCATGAAATGAACAAACTCAAACCACTAATGACGTCCATGATAGCATCTTGTTGACAACGGTTAACATCTGATAACTGTAGTTCTATTCACTAACTGAATGTTGATAAGCTGCTTTCAGACATGCACTGAACTGCACCGGACATTCTCTGGAAGACGTGTAAGTGTGACTGCAAATGTCCCAGGGAGCGCCTCCAGACTTTCTGCACACTTTCTCCGGGTATTAAGTCCAGAGGAGCCAAAAACAAATATCTCTGCATGAAAAAGCGAAGCCAAACACGTAGAAGACACTGACAAAGATCTCAAGAGAGCTTTTAGTGATGAGGGCCGATGTGAGTGTTGATGTGCTGTACACACAAACATGTGATCTCTGCAGCAGAATTAATTCGTTGCATTCTGTGTCTGTCTGCTGCACCAGCCCTGAGTGGAGACCCTCTCGCGGTGTTGTGTGTAAGGAAACCTCTGGAGAAAGTCCACACCCAATTCTGCGGATTTCTATCCATTAAATATCTTTGAAATTATCTTTATCAAACAGAATTTGCCTGCAGACTTTTATTCACAGCGTTACTACATACCTTTACTCTATTACAGAGGTAAATACTGCACTTTAATTGCACTACAATTATTTGATTCTATCATATCACAACCTGTACAAAATAAAACAACCATGTACAGCATTAAAAAAATAGATCCTTACAGGTTTAAAAAAAAGTTGTAATTAAAATTTGATATTATAAAACTTCGCAAATTTGGGAATATTTCATATTTAGTCTTTTTTGAAGCCTTTCTTAAAAAAATGTCAGAACTGTCAGAGGCTCTAAAATGAAGCCGACAGATGCGATGAAGGCTGTGAAAGATGAGAGCTCTTCCAGCTTGAAATCTCCACTTTCCAAAACGTGATTAAATGGTTTTCAATGGCAGTGAAATGGAAAATCTGGAAGATTAAGAAAAAAATGTGAGGCGGCTGACAGTGTAGCTTTAATGCATAAGTAACAGCTGTGGGTTAAACATACAGTACTTTTTTATACTTTTTTAAATCAATGAAATAAAAAGGACTGGTGCATTAACATTGGAAGAAAGGTTGGTTTTAATGTCAGTTTTGTTGCGTTAGCTTTCCTTATTTTTCTTTTCACCTCCATTTTAAGCAAAAATATGGAATTTGCCTGATATTGTCCTTTTATCCATGAGTATTTAAGATGTGCAAATCATTTAAACAACTAGTTTAGCTTAAACTGTCATTTTTATAAAAACAGATACATGTAGTTTTTATTTTCTTCATTCATTTTCCCCAAACTGACCCTTCAGGTTTGTTTGGATGAACTTGGAACCCTCTGTGCCTCCAGATATTCCATCAACAAAGACACAATGAAAAAGGTGAAACCCCAACTCTCCACTAGACTGGGACATAATGTAAATCAATTAAGCTACAGACAGACGTAAGAAGCAAGAGTTTCTGTAGAGGGGCCCACCTTAACCCATTCATTGTCATATCAATGGGTGACAAATAGCTCCTGTCTTTGTGTTATTGTAAATCAGGCTTGCAGCCAGGCTTCACGTTTGTTAGAAGCACCAGTCCAGATGTAATAAATTGTAACCCAATAAACCAGGTTGAGCAGAAAATAGACAGAGGAAGTTTGCTCGTTTCTCCCTTTTCCTAACAATGGAGGCTGGATAAACGCAGCCAGCAAACCGGACCTTGACCCTGGTCTGATCGCACCATGGTAGGATGAGATGTTGACCTCAGGAGTGTCTTGGAGGACCCCAGGCTTCCTGCTGCCCGGTCCTTCAGGGCTCCACCCTGCAGAGTCCCAGGAGGACGACAGACCTCACAGCCAGGATAGGAGTCAGCAGGCCAGGCAGGAAAGACAAAGGGGGGGTGGGCAAGGTAGAGGTTCCTGGTCGGGGAAATCCTGTCTTTCAGAGGCATCTTTCTCCTTGTAGGGCCCTCTGCAAGAGATATATGCTCAACCTGAGGCCTTGGAGGACATGGGTACTTGTTTTAGAAACTCTTCTGCATTGAGTAGGTGAGGAATCAGTCCAACTATGAGAAACGTTATCTTCTCTGAGTGTTTGAACTGAAAAGATTCCATAAATAGGACAATTAAGGGGTAGAAAATAGTGGCAGACATGAAACTCTATCCCCTGAGATGACAAATGACATCTCTCCCCATCATCCCTCTGTTCTCTATCTGTCATTTTTGCTATTATACATTTCAAAGGCGTTCACAGAAGACGGCCATCGTTATTGGAGACACGTCGTTTCCGACAGCAAAAAAAAAAGGAGCGGATGTGCCCAAGCTTTGGGAGACTCCGGATCTTGGTTTATGTGAGACTCGGACTTGATCATCCCCTTCACTGTGCACAGAGCGTCCCTTCATTCCCTCCTCTATCCTCTCTATTGTGCATCCCTCGCTCGCTCAGGCCTAAATGGATGCCCTGTCATCTGCAGCAGGACCGAGCCAGTTCAGAGGCTCAGCTGCACTGATGTAGGCATCACAGGTAAAGAAAGCTGCAGACACAAGCAAGCAAGAAATCACTGTAGGCATGTTACTTCAGAACATCACCTCGAAATGCTCTGTGGTACAGTTCTCACTGGTTTAGTTGGTAACTGGAGATTAGGAATGAGTTGTATCTCAGAAGATGTTAGTCTGTGGAAAGAAGTTTGTGTGTGTGTGTGTGTGTGAGAGAGAGATCAGTTCATCTAAACATGTATGTATCATATAAAATAGTTTTTTCTGAGGATTGTGGCACAAATGACTCAAATTAATTCTTTCATTTCTGAAAGATCTTGTAATGATTTGTATCTGCCTGGATTTTTCCCCTCAAAATGTAACCTAATTAAAAATTCATAAAATTCCATTTTGAGTCTATGTATTTAGATGTTTTTTATTGTAAACGTTGAAATGCACAATATCCATTCACATGACGTGAACTAAAGTTATTAGTTGCCACATCACACTTGTTAGGGTCAGCTGCAAATTGGATCATGATCAGTCACAAATTGTGTTTTTCACAACCTCACACTTTCTCAATTACTTCTCTATCTTAAACAGAACTCTAACAAACATTTATTCTTCTGCAGATGGATGTGAAACCAGCAATATCATGCAAAGCCCCAGAAATACATCCTCCGCTCTATCAATCAGAAGTGAAACTTTCAGGAGGAGCAGTGGCCTTCGGGATAACTAAAAGTTGGACTGTGCATATGCAATCATTTTTCTGGAGATTTGAAATGGGTCATGCATCATCAAAAAAGTATCTGTAAGTTTGTTATTTTCAGTTGTGGGCTGTGGCGGTATACACAAGACCTGACACAAAATAGAAGTAAGTGCAGGGAACTGTTTAAATGCACTTGTTTCAAATTAGGAAACGGTTCCCGGTGGGTTATAAGTTTATTCAAAGTCATAATGTGCATCTACATTAAAGTTTCTCTTCATTCCTCCTGCTCTAGTTCACAGTGCAGACAGATTAGCAGTTGTATTACTGTGCAGCCACACTCATAAAATAAGATAATCCTTTATTAGTCCCACAATGGTGAAATTTAAAATATAACAGCAACAAGAGTCAAAATTGGCATCAGTAAGTAATTATAAGTAACATGCAATACTTATGTGTAAGGAAATATAGAAAATATAGAAAAATAAGAACAGAATGAAAACTATTATACACTGTGTGAAAACAAGACAAATATGTGCAACGTGAGAATTTGTACAGTGGATGGATTGCACATGAACCATTGCATTGCACAGACAGAACAAACATTGCAACAGATCAAAACAAATCATAAAGGAGAAATATTATGAACTGGAACATTAAAAATGTATGATCAAATAACTGAGAGATCCCAGGGTACATTACAAAAAGTGCACTGGATCACTCGACAGGTGGGGTGTTGACATCAGGCTGAGGCCCAGAAAAACCGCAGCGAGCAGGGAGGGCTGATGAATGTTGAGCTATTAGTCATGAAGAAAGTGTCAACAGAGTCATTAAAGTATGAAAAACAGCAGTGAGGTGCCAAACGCTTCAGTTTTCTGTAAACCAGGAGCTCATAGGCAGAACAGAGGGGCTCTGTCTTCCTATAATAAAGAGGGGGGGGTGCAAGTTAGATTTCACTGCATCCTGACCAGTTCTTCACTCTGCACAGTGAAACACAAGTTCACTTATCAATGGATCTGCTTTAGAATCAGATCAACACTGACATCTAGTGGAACCTTCCCTTCCCCGGAACCTTTGTGACCGAGTCGTTGCTAGCTTCGGAGCTATTTCACAGACGAGCCGGAAAGTCGAGGGCCTCTTGAAGCTAACGTATTTAAGCTAACTCGTAAAAACAACAACAATAACAACCCGTCTCCTGCAGCATGGTGTCCAGCCAACAGAAGCGGGTGTGGAGGTACGTGGAGGAGGGCAGTCTACCGAAGCTGAAGTCGTACCTGAGGAAGCACCGGGACCTGGATGTGAACTTCTCCCAGGGCAAGCGGCAGAGGAGCCCGCTGCACCTGGCCTGCTGTCGGGGAGACGACGCCGTGCTGCGGCTGCTGCTGGAGCACGGAGCCGGTGTCCTCCACAGGGACCACAAAGGAGACACGGCGCTGCACACTGCGGCCAACATGGCTCTCAAACACGGGAGGACAGGTGAGGAGGACCGGGGGAGAAACTGGTGCAGAATTGGGATTTTATTAGTTCTTGCATTCGTATTTATTTTGTGATTTTTCCTCTCAGCGTATGATGACCTGGTTGTGCCCCTGAAGCAGAGCTGTCCAGAGGCCATGACTGCTCCGAACCGTGCTGGAGTCACACCTGAAGACCTGCTGGGTTTCATGAGACACCCAGAGGTAAACAGGCTCTGACAATAAACTGAAGGGCTGCTAATGACAGTCAAAATATAAGAATATGGTGTAAAATACCCACTACTAGCTTAGCTTAACTTAAAGAAAATAAAGTCATAGTGATTTTAAAGTAGCACATCATCACACTGAAGAGGCCAGACTGTCAGCAGCAACATTAGTCAACGACTTTATAGCTGTGAGTAACTGTCACAAAACACAAGCTGAACTATGTAGTGAGTGTATCTGATTCAGTGATTTAACATATATTGTTTTGTCTTCACCTCCTGTTTGTTAAGATTTGACTGCAAACAATCATGATCTTTTTGACCCATTGATTATTTGATCAATAGAATCTAAGATAGTTGTGTAGAGAGGCCACATTGGTGTCCCTGAATTAATATCTTCAAATGTCTGTTTGAGGTTTAACAAAGAGTATAAAACAGAGAAATTCATCAAATGCTTGATGTAGAAGCAAATTTGTAAAACAACTAATGAATCATTGATAAACTTTGTTCATTTTTCAGCATCACATGATAGTAGAACACAGTTTATGTGGTGGTTGTGCGTGTTGGATCATATTTATAAATCTTTTCTTTATATTCCTCGCAGAGGGCAGCAAACCCGAGTCGTCCACCTGAAACAGACCCTGAGAAGGAGTGGATGGAGAAGCTGTTTGGTGAATGTGAAGATGAATTCTGTGAAACGTTTGGAGTATACGATGGTAAAACTCATACTCCTTCAATGTTAAATTCTATATGTCAAGTTTCTCCACTTGATGTTAAGACAGTGTTGCTGTATTTTTTTCACAGCTGACGATTTTCTTCCTGTCGATGATGATGAGGAAGATTTTGGGGACTGGGCCAATCGTATTAGGAAAGAATATTTTGATAAAAAGAATTCTGAAGCTCAAAGACTGGCAGCGTCGTCTTCAGGATGGAAAAAAAGGAAGAGTAAACAAGAGAATGAGCAGGAGAAGCAAAGCCACAAGGAGCTGCATGAGAGGCTGCAGAGGGAACATGAAGAGTATCTGGCTCGAGCAGCACGTAAAGAGGAAGAGACTCGACAGGGCAAGAAGCGCAGGTACGACGAGAAGTGTGCAGCTACTTTCCAGGGAGGCTCCTCAGCAGGCAGCACAAAGCTGAGCTACAGTGACATCCCCTGGCCAGCTCCCAAAGGTACAGTGCAGGAGATGGTGGATGTCATGCTGCACGGTGTGGACCGCAAGGACGTGCCGGTGTTTCGTAAAATGCTCCGGAAGCAGCAGGCGCTGTGGCATCCAGACAAATTTGCTCAGAGATGTGAGACGCGGCTGGAGGAGAAGGACAAGCAGAGGATCCTGGACACAGTCACAGCTCTGTCACAGGAGCTCAACAGACTGGCTCAGAGTCTGAGGGCTTAGACTCACTGTAGTATTCAAACAAATGGAAATGTGTTCATGTAAAACGTACAAACAAACTTTAGTCAAAGTTATGCACAAATGTGACATGATTTACATCCATGTCTGCAGCAGTTTGTCTGCTACACATGTGTTGGCCACAGCAGCTGTCAGCATTTCTTTATATTTGGTCCCATTTTACAACCAGACATCTTCCTCAGAAATGACATCTTTTAATGTTGACCTATTAAACAACACCCATCCGTCCATCATTTATACCGCCTATACTTTGAGCAAAGTGAGGGGGGGCTGGAGCAATTCCTAGCTGACATTGGGCAAGAGGAGGTGTTCAACCTGGATTTATGACTTTATTTCATTTTATTTGATTATTTATTTGAATGCACATAATTATTTATCAGTATCCTCATTGTTCATAGAACTCCAAAGTACTCCCAGTTTGTGTGTATGAATGTGAATGTTAGGGGGGTGGGGAGTGTCTGTATTGAACACTGAGCAGGGGCATGGGTTTGAGTGATACCTCATTATGAAACAGAAAAAGGCAACTAAATTGATGTTATCCAGATTTCTTGAGTAATTTGTGTATTTTTGCTCTCAAAGCACATCAGCGTGTCGTCAGTCACCAAAAGGACGCTCGTTCACGTGATTCCTGACTTCATGAAAACATGGTAATAATTAATAACAAGGGAATATCACCAGCATAAATACAGGGTTTGTCACACAAAGAAGAAGAGCAGATGGTCGAGCTGCTTTCAGTGAGGGAACAGAGTAAGAGGATGTGCTGGTTGCCAGGTTTGTGTGCTAACCCCCCTTTTTAAACAGCATCTTGACATTGTGGTACATGATGTGAATCGAAACAAAGGGACTGAATCAACAATATTAAATCCTAACACACAGCACATCCATTTCATTGAGTTTTATTTACATTTTATGAATGTTTTTAATTATTTTGTATTGCTTATCTTTTCACAAAGCGAGGGGAGGACCATCGTATAACATCGTAATAGTTTCACGTGTGTATCTTCTGTTAAAGAAGTTATATGTATACTAATAGGATAATAGTCATAATTTTGCAAATAAATGCTGAAACAAATA